TTCTGCCTGACACAGTGTGTTTGGAACATGCTGGCAACTTCAAACTAGAGAAGTGTGAAGGGCTTTAATAGGACTTACAGAGCAGAAGGCAAAAGCTGGATCCTGAACCATCAGCATCTAACGTGAGCTAACACGGTGGTGCTGGTACTAAGTACTTCTTCGCTAGCAGAGCAGATATCAAAACGGGATCAAACTCTACCTTAGCGTAGTGGGACATTTACAACTTGAGGCAATGAGAAGAAGTGGAGTGATTTTTATTTTTCTCAATGTTTTTTCATTATTATTTTCTACATGCTTTTTGTTTAAGACTCATCTTTAAAAAAATAAATCAGGAAACAAAGGATTCTGCTAATATTTTGTGTCTGACCACACAGGCCTTGTGCAATCCCCAAATTCTCTTCCCCTGCACCGCATAACTTGTCCCAAGCCCCCAGGCAACTATCCACCTCAGTCCCAAAGATGCCCTGATGTTGACTCATCTGGATGAGTTTCATGCCTGTGGCTGAGGCTGTCCTGGGCCAGCCCTGGGAGGGACCCAGAGAGGATGTCTCTTCTTCTGAGTCTTTATTTCAGGTTCTCACCTGCCTTTGTGCCCCTGCACTTTTTTGGGGCTGGTGTAGACCCACCTTTGATGGGCTGATGGCTCCTGGCATGGGCCTGGGAGCAGCTGGGACAAGGTATTATTTGAGCTCTCTCTCCTGCCATTGTCTCTCTGTGCTTCTTTGTGGGTGTGCAGATGAGCTTTTATTGCATAACCTAACAAGTGCAGTGAGAATACATTTCATTTGTGGGTGGATTTGTCAAAAAAATATTTCCTGAAGGTGTTAAGAGCTGCTTTTTATTAGTTTACTGAACTGAAGTGGTTTTATCCGTGTCTGTTAATTGCCAAATTGGCAAGGGACATTCTTCAGATTGTGAGTTTACAATACAAAAAAGATCTACCCTGGGAGGAAAAAAAAAAAAAAAAAAAAAAAGAAAGAAAAAAAAAGAAGAAAGAAAAAAAAAAGAAGAAAGAAAAAAAAAGAAGAAAGAAAAGGCTCTTTCTGTTCCTTCCTTCTAAAATGTGAGAAGACTGTGAAGGCAAACAATTGCAATGAATTGAGCCTAGTATATTTTATAATATAAAATGTAGACAAAAGATTAAGCTGTGCTCTCTTTCATGACCATTTAATCACACTGGACCCACTCCAACGCTCAGACAGAGCTTGGAGGAACCTGCTCCTTCTTCGGAAGCTGCCCCTCTCTGCTCGTGCCTGGGACACATCATTTCACATTCTCCCTGCGTTGTGTATCACTGGGTGTTGGCAGGATAAATAAGTTATCCCGGGGTGCACAGGAGTGTCTTACATGGGTGTATGTAGGAAGGAGGAGGAGGAGGTGGGAAGGTAGCAGGAGAAATACAGACCACAAATAAGACCTTAAGCACCCAATCACTTAAGGTAGCTTAACCTGCTGCTTGCTTGAGCTGAGCTGGGATCGCTGCCCACAAACCCAGCCACTGGCACCCTGTCCTTAAACCCTGTTTAACTCTTGGGGGACCGTAGCTGGAACGAGGGCTGGGCACGTAATTCAAATCTCCGTACCTCAAGTCTCCAGAAATTGTTTCTGGGTCTGAGGCCAAAACAGCCTGTTCACAGACGTACTCATGCCAAGGTCACGCATTGAGGTACCTTGATAAGGACCATGGCTGGTATCGTGTTATTTACTTGTAATGGCTTAAATTAACTATGGCAAATAGTATCAGGAGGTAGAACATTCCCAACAGCTGGGGTTGGCAGCCCTACGTGGTTTCTCACACCAGCTGCTGCTTCGGCATCGTCCCTGTTCTTCCCGCTTCCCGGCACCTTGGCAAATCCTACAGAAACCCTTTTGCAAAGATTTATGAATATATGTGAGCAGAGGGAGATGCAAGGACGGTCTGAGATGCAGTGCAAGGTGGTGGGAAGAGTGAAAATACTGATGTCTGGGTTGGATCTAATGAATGTTTCAAGAAAGGAAAAAAATGGTCCCGATGCAAGTCACAGTGAACTTACTGAAAGGATTTTCCTTTCTTTTCAACCTTCCTTTTCCTCAGGTCCTAAATCACATTTATAGTCCCCAGAGCCTTTCTGTTAGGTTATATACATATTTTTTTTCTATCCTGAGTATCCGTAGGAAACATGAGCATTCATAGGAAACTGTAAGTAGCAAGAATTAAAATGCAGTATCTGGTATTTATTTCCACACAGGAAAAGGGTCTCGGAAGTCCTTCTGGTTTCTCACCTTCCTATCACATGCTATAAAAGACCGGATGATTAGGAGTTTGGAGACACTGCAGTTCACTGCATAAACACTGGTTCGAGATTGTTGTTTTTTTTCCAAATTCTAAATATAAGTTTAACCTTAGCTCAGTTACAAAAAAAAAAAAAAAACACAGCACAAAAAAACCCAAAACAGCTGATGAAATGAGTGTTTGTTTTGGATGCCAGAACTATTTCTTTTATGAACAATACTCCGTTTAATAGGCTTCTTTTTCCAAGAAAGGCTGGATAATCCTCTTCCCTCCTCCACTTAAAAAAATAACAGAAGAGTAAGAGCTGTGTTTACAAATACTGAATTGGCCCAGCGTTAACAGTGGTAGGGGTTCGACCTGCCAGCATCGCAGCTCTTGAATTATTCGCTCCATAAATGGAGAATCAATCTGCTTCTGGGATTTGGCATATTTTTGGGGGGTTGGAGGATGGGTTTTTGTTTAGACTAACAACTACATCCAGGCTACTAAGGCAAATATGTTTGGTGCCGCTCTCCGGCGCAGAGGCCAGCTGGCGTGGACGGGGCCGTGCTCTTCAGTTCCCTTTCTAACTCTCCAAGGCACAGCGGGAATGTCCCTGCTGTCTTTTGGGTTGCAATTCCTGAATCATACCTGGGAATAGTTTGGAAGATTTCCGACTAGCTCCAAAACTTCCCTCTAAAAAGTTAAAGTGAGCACAGGGTTGTTCCCTGGTGCCATTTAATCCACCAGTGCAGGTGAGCCCAAGCAGCCGGGGTTAATAAAGCCTTTTGTTATCCAGCCTGACCCACTTGTCAGCCCTTGAGCTCTTATAGATGTATGTGTAGGGGCCAAATAAATCTCGAGGCATTTGGCAAACAGCAGCTAATTGAATGGCACACGCTACCCATCACGTGGCCACCCATCACGTGGCCACCCATCGCGTGCCGCAGATGAGAAACCTGAAGCAGAGTAAAGGCTTAAGACCACAGTCTGAGGCTCCAGATTTGAAGCTTCGGATTTGGCTTTGTGGGACTCAGTAAATATTTACATGCTGCGTCTAAAAACCAGACCTGTGTCGGCTCCAAGACATCGTGTCAAATCCATTGGAAAAACGGTTTGGCCTTGGGCAGCTCCTCATGGATCCCCAGGAGAAAAGCCAGCAGCAAAGCTGGGGACGCTGCACCCAGCTCAGACCTGTGGCCGCCAGATGCATTTCCCCCGTGTTCTTCTTGGCTTTGGGGGATGAAATGGGGGGGTCCTGCATGTGGTGCACAGAATAGGTTAAATCAAGGGGTTTTGACAGGTAAAAGTTGCAGTTTTGCTCTTTATTTGCTGGCCTGAAGCCTGCAGCTGAGTAGCGAGCGAGACTTCTCTTGCTGGGCTTTCGCGTGTTCATAAATTGCACATATTCTGCCATAGATGCTTCTCTGATTTTTTCTTTTTTCTTTTTTCTTTTTTTCTTTTTTTCTTTTTTTTTTTAATTAAAAGAGTGTTATTTAAGCAATGACGCTTTTGGGGCTTTTTGCAAACATCCAAAGCTTTAAAAACCACAACTTTTTTCCTTCCACAAAACAATGGCATAGTGGGAGGAAGGGATCCATTTTTCTGGCTTTTAAAAACTCATTTAAATCACTGCTGCCAGGCAGGGGATACCAGGAGGGGAGCGGAGAGCGGCTCCAGGTCCCTCTATATCCCTGGACTCACTGAGACGAAGCAGCTCCCTGCCTCTCTGCCTGGCTCAGGATCTCGCAGGAGCTCTCGGAGATCACGGGCTGCCCTCACCTACCCTTCCTTGGCAGGAAAATAGCAATAATCCACGTGAAACAAAGGCTGTTTATACTTCGATTTCCCCTGTCTGTCGCAGGACGTATGAGCTATTCTTGCTTGGCTTTCTCTGAATCACGAGTCCAACTCCGATTCTTAAGAAATTAAGCCAGTTTGGGGGGAGGAAGAGAAAATAACCGATTCCTCTTCCTCCCTGTCCTGCTCCTCCCTCTGTTGCCGGGTGCTTTTCGTTCAGCTGCTTTGAGTTATGAATACTTTGCTGCGCATCTTGCAGTTATCAAGGTCAGCCTAAGGGAAGGAGGTGAGTCATTGCCATTCAAATGGCTACAAACTGTCATTCAAATCAGGCCAGAGTGACGAGGCTTTTTCAATACAAAGGGACTCAATGTCCACAGGTCGATGCTCTGCCCTTTTCAGAAATTTCACCCTGAAACTTCTCGATACGCAAATAAGGCAGCAGAAATTGGAGCCTGAGCTGGTCAGAAGTTTTGGGATGGGTAGAGAAAAGCAGAGAAATGAGGTTGGGAGGAATGCAAAAAACTTTCTGACACTAATTTATCTTTCTTTTTTTGCATGTTTGTGTCTCCAGGCTGCAAACTGCTCTCCACGGCTTAAATGGACATCAAGAACATCTCTGCTGAAATGTACATCCCTGGATGATCTGATCCTTCTTGAACTAACTTTCAAGAAAATAAAAAAAATCCACCCTCTTTCTTTCTACAATTTGCTTGCTTGGATTTATGGCTTGCTCCCTCACAGAAAACCTAAATTTTAATGCTGATATTGCTTCCCTCTAAATCTTCCAGCACACAGAAGGGCAAGGGTCCATCCTTGAATCCTTGGTGGGAGAGCTTAGCAGCAGGTCACAGAAGGGTGGAAGAGACTTGGAAGCACTGCGAGAAGGTGAAAGGAAATACCCAGCTTTGCCTTTGTAAGCCCATTTGATGGAAACAAAGCTTCCCTTATGGATGGAGGTAGTGGAGTTGATATGTTCATCCTAAGCCCAAGGTGGTAACTGGCAGGCACCTGCAGCACCCTTTCCTTTTTGCCTTACTTTGAACCCTACATCGTACTAGGTCAGCAGCGACGGCAGAGCCTGAGTGGAAAAGATGGTTGTCGTAAGAAGGAGGAACGTGAAAATGTTTACCTTTGCCTTTTTGCTCATCACAGTAACGTCATTTCTGCTGAACTACACGCACCAGGTGACCACGACCACCTTGGATCCGAGACATCTCATCATGCAGTTTTCCGAGCAAGTTCAAAAACTCTTCAAGTACCCCAGGAGACCGTGCAGCTGTCAGACATGCATTTCTGAGCTGGGACATTCCCTCTGGTTCGATCAGAGGTTTAATTCAACTATGCAACCTTTCCTGACCTCACAAAATGCCTTGATCCCAGAAGACAGCTACAGGTGGTGGCTGGTAAGTGGGAGGTGTGGATTGGATATGGCCTGGTGTTCGGGTGAAGGTTGCAGTGTCAGGCGTTGAGCAGTGCCGAGCAGATACCAAGAGATGGCTCCTGCCAACAGCAGCATTTGCCACCTCAGCTGCCAAGGCAGGCAGAGGTGGAAGAAAGTGGGCGTTCGTGCTGCTGTTTTAGCTCACAGGCACTCGGAGAGCACATTGACTTACTCTGAGCTAGAAAAGTTCCTGGCAGAGTTAGGCAGCGAATCCAGAATTTGCAAATGTCAATATTGCCTTTTTTCCCCTTCTTTTCGAAAGACTAGACTTTGTAAACCAGATTGTTTCACCTCAGATGGTATAAAGGGCTTTTGCTGTCCATTGAGGCAGCAAAGCAAACTCGTGAAGTGTGTAATTCCCCCAGGGCTCTCCCTACTGTAAGACATGTAAATAATTAGCAGGATTAAATGGAGAATGATTAATTCCATGTGTATGAGAACAGCTTCCGTTGTGGCCAGTGATGTAAAACGGATCTATAAAGTGCATGGGCAGCCACAGGTCACTGGGAAGGAGCAGTCCCTGTGTACCCTTGAGCAGGGTGGTCCAAAGAGCCCGATCCAAGTGTTATGAAAGCTAGCAGGTACCTCGTTCGAAAAGGACAGAAAGGAAGAAGTTGTGTACTGACGTTTTGCCTAATCAAAGTCCCTTTTATGTTCTCTTGAAACAAGATATTATGTTCTCTTGAAACAATTAAATGAATTGCTCATGGCCCATGCTGCCAAGGTGCCAAAGTGCCGGTTCCAGCTGCAGTGACGCTGGTCAAATTGCAGTTTCATTATGACTTGCTTTCCTCCTCTTCAGAAAAAATAGTCTCCCTGTGCCTTTCTTTGAACACACAACTGCCTGTAACTGCCTGTAACTGCCTGTAACTCAGTGTCCTGCAGCGAGCACAACCCTTGATGTTGAATTTGGGGCTTTCAGCCCTTCCCTGATGCCCTGGGAAGGCCCTTCCAATGGGCACCCACTTTTGCAGTGGGGACATTCAGGTTTCAGAGGAGGTGTTGAGTGCTGTGGGAATGAGGCTGTATCAGATTTATCACTTCTCACGGCGCTGGCTGTTGCATTTACTGGTGAAAAATAGATGCCACTGAGCTCCAGTGTCTTTAACTGTTGCATAAATGATATCCTCATTTTAGGATGAAACCCTCCTTTTTGCTACGAGTCTCACATCCTGCAGGTGTTGAATCCTTTCCCCTGCCCCTTGGCCATGACTCAGATTTCCCATCACTGTGTTTCTTCTTCCAGCCCCTAGACACATTTCCTTCTGGTGCCCACATTTCCTAACTGGGCCTTGCTGGAGCCATGAGAAAAGAAGATGATGAGCTCCCGTCCTTGCTCCCCTTGTCTCAAGGCAAGGCTTCCCCAGGGAGATGAGCTGATGTAACAACCGGCAACTTTCAGAGGATGAGGGATACCCCAAATCAAGCTCAGTAGATAGGAGAATGAAGTTTTCATGGACATCATGAGTGATGAGATTGGTTGTGATGTGCCTCCCACATCCCAATTGCCTCTGAATACAAAAACCAGGAGCACTCCGCACCTCCCAAGGGGCAAGTGGGATGATCAATCCTAAATCATAGAATCATGAAATCACAGCATCATAGGATGGTTTGGTTGGAAGGGACCTTGAAGATCGTCTAGTTCCAGCCCCCTTGTCGTGGGCAGAGACACCTTCCTCTAGATCAGGTTGCTCAAAGCTTCATCCAACCTGGTCTTGAACACTTCCAGGGATAGGGCATCCACAACTTCTCTGGGCAACCTGTTCCAGTGCCTCACCACCCTCAATGTAAAAAATTTCTTCCTTCTATCTACTCTAAATCTACCCTCTTTCAGTTTAAAGCCATTGCCCCTTGTCCTATCACAACAGGTTCTGCTAAAAAGTTTGTCCCCGTGTTTCTTATAGGCCCCCTTTAAGTACTGTAAGGCTGCTAGAAGGTCTCCCCAGAGCCTTCTCTTCTCCAGGCTGAACGACCTCAACTCTCTCAGCCTGTCTTCATAGGAGAGGTGCTCCAGCCCTCTCATCATCTTCATGGCCCTCCTCTGGACCCACTCCAACAGCTCCATGTCCTCCGTCTTATGTTGGGGGACTCCAGAGCTGAATGCAATGTTCCAGGTAGGGTCTCATGAGAGCAGAGTAGAGAGGCAGAATCACCTCCCTCGACCTGCTGGCCACGCTTTTTTTTATGCAGCCCAGGACATGGTTGGCTTTCTGGGCTGCATGCACACATTGCTGGCTCATGTTGAGCTTCTCATCAACCAACACCCTCAAGTCCTTCTCCTCAAGGCTGCTCTCAATCCATTCTCTGCCCAGCCTGTATGCTGTCATTGGTGCAGGGGCTGTGCTCCTGCAGCACTGGGGCTGAGGAGGAGTCCTGTGAGACAGGGCTGGATGGACAGGGTGCCTCTGCTAAGGGGGCTCTGCCCCCAAGGGCTTGCACATCACCTGGAGCAAAGTCGTGCTGCGTTCCGCACTCAGCCCCCACTCTGATTCAAACATGCGGTTCGAATGTGTTCTTCTTTTAAGAAATTTTTTAAAAGAAAAAGCTTGTGACTGTCAGGACTAAAGTCTGAATATCTGACTCTCCTTGTAGTGAAACTGAAAATAAAACCAACCAACATACTAATATATCACTTCAACTCAACCTGAAACAGATTTTTTCGGAGGAAGGTTGTTTCAGCTAAATTAAAAACCAGTGACTTTCAGGACAGCCAAAAGTCTTTTTTTTCTCTGCCACTCCCCCCCTCCCCAGCCCAAATAAAAGCTGTCCATTAATTTTCAGGGCTGTCTAACCCTGTTTTTAGTGTTTTCATTCATTTTTTTGAATTCAGGTCAAGTTCAAAGGGAATACACCACTTCAGAACACAAAATCAAAGCATTTTTTTCTTAGATGGTAAAAATAAATCTTCTAAGATGTCTACACTTTTTCCACCATATTGTTTTTCAGCCGGAACTTATCTTCAGCTAAAACATGTGATATATTTTGATGTCCATCAAAACGGCATTGTTTATTGGAAATCAGTTGTTTACCAAAAATATTTACCCTAATCTATAGCAGATGGAGAAGGTGCCCTGACTGGTCTGAGAGGTGCTTCTGGGTAAACTCAGGTATGATGTGGCCTCAGATCCTCATTGCAACCTATCTCCTATATACATGTTGCTTTGGGTAAGCCTTTCCGAGACAGTCGACGTCATTTCTACAGTAAGCAATTCCAGGTGCATCCTGACTCCACTCCCTTTTCGCTATTCATTTTTAGGCTCATCTTTAAAGCGATTCTGAGATTTCTGCCAGTCTTAAAGGAAACATTGCTCGTGGCCATGTTTTACTCTCGCTGCTTTGCCAACTCAATGATTTGTGACTTTTTATTAAATTTGTAGTTAAAAGATGAGGCATGAGGAGACCTGAGGTTGCTTAAACTTCATTTCAGGGGAGAAATGACTGTATGTTTGCTCTCAGGAGCTGGCTTCAGACAGCGTGGTGGTTTCATTATGCTGTAACCGAGATGATGACTGCACTGGAGCTATTTATTAATAGGTTGTGACTTTCCTGTCACGGGGAGACCCATGTGATGTGCTTGGACTAAACACAGGCATAGCCCTTGCCGGAGAGCTGTCTGACTACCAAGCTCAGTTTGCCCTCTCTTCCCATTAACCTATTGCTGGATATGTGAATAAGGATTATTCATCCAAATAGTCCTGTAGTGTTTGTATCCCTCTACTTCTAGGAGAGCGAGGACTGATTTCAGAGCCTAATGACAAGTATTTGAGATGAAGTGACATTTGGGGGCCAAAGGATGGAGTGGTTTCACTTGCTTACAGCTTGTCGTGGTTTAACATCAGCCAGCAACTCAGCCCCACGCAGCCGCCTGCTCACTCCCCCACAGTGCAATGGGGAGAGAATCAGAAGAGCAGAAGTGAGACAACTCGTAAGCTGAGACAAAAGACAATTTAATAGGTAAAGCAAAAACAACACACACAAGCAAAGCAAGACAAGGAATTCATTCACCACTTCCCACAGGCAGGCAGGTGTTCAGCCATCCCCAGGAAAGCAGGGCTCCATCATGCATAACGGTTACTTGGGAAAACAAACACCATCACTCTGAATGTCCCCTCCTTCTTTCTTCTTCCCCCAGCTTTATATACTGAGCATGACATTGTATGGTATGGAGCATCCCTTTGGTCAGCTGGGGTCAGCTGTCCCAGCTGTGTCCCCTCCCAACTCCTTGTGCACCCCCAGCCTTACTCGCTGGTGGGGTGGGGTGAGAAGCAGAAAAGGCCTTGACTCTGTGTCAGCACTGCTCAGCAGTAACAAAAACATCCCTGTGTTATCAACACTGTTTTCAGCACAAATCCAAAACATAGCCCCGTACTAGCTGATGTGAAGAAAATTAACTCTATCCCAGCCAAAACCAGTACACAGCTCTTCACATAGCTGCCAGGCTGCTTCGTGGTTTATTTGGAGAATATATGGTTTAAACTCTTCCAGCTTGATAGGATGTGGCCTTTTGGAAGGAAATATTCCTGGCTGCTGTAAATAAAACCATGTTGTCCATACTGGAGTTAGTGGTACTGGCTGTGGGGATGAGAAGGAGCAAGGAAGAGAAGAGCAGTTCCACCATCCCTGCGGCAGCTTGTCCTGCTGCACACAGCAGGGCTGCTTCAGGAGAAGGCATCTGAACATGTACCTGACTCTTTCTATGTTCACAGGAGCAAGAGGGCTCTTGTAAGGGCTGTTACTTGCTTTTCATGTGCTTAAATCTACCCATGGTTACTTTAGTGGGGTAACAAACAATGGCCCAAATTATCCTCCTGGGTACACCCCTGTGCTTTGTGGGGCTTCAGGGTGGATTGGGGTCCTCCTCCTGGAGATGATCTGGGCATTAATAATACCCTGTAACCAGCTTGTTAGAAATTCCTTCCTTCCTTCCTTCCTTCCTTCCTTCCTTCCTTCCTTCCTTCCTTC